AAAACCGATGGGGTCCGCTCAACGCCTCCCCCTATACGGGCGAGGGAAAAGCGCAACCAAAAAGACAAAAATATGCACATGCGATAACCTATACTGCGAAAAAAGGTGCATCATTTTTTAACGTCGCCGACAAATTATAATTACCCCAAGCTCAGGCAGATGTATGGTAGAAAATACCCCAACTGAAATACACTACGGCGGAAATAAAATACACTACGGCGGAGCTCGGTTGCAATTTGTAAATACGCATTCCGTTCAAGCCTCAAGGCCGCTGAAGAAACGCGAGATCTTGCGTGGGACATTAGACGCGTTTACATAAGGTTTGTTGCAAGCTTATATCTCCGTCCGTGATGTTGCAAAATATGCCAATGGTGCTGAACAATTTACAAAATGATCCCTTCTAAATATTTGAAGACCACTGCATCGAAATTATCGCCAAATTAACGAGCTAGAACCTCGTCAAATATGCTATGTAAACCGGGTTATTGTCCGTTGTTTGCCGCGCAGAGTTGTGCCGTGGTTGTGCCTTTTTCATCCGTTTCTTACTTATGTGTGCATGAAACTTTGATTTTGTTTTTGGTTATTGTGTGGCCGGTCAGTCAAACGCCCCTGTAGAAACCGGATGCTGCGTTTGATCGAGATGGAGTCAGACGATGATTGCAGAAAGCTATTGAAAAGAGGGCCGGTTGCGTGGCATGTCTGTTCAGAGTTGACATTTTGCTTTACTCCAGTTTATGACCTGAGAGCCTGGCTGGAAGTGACGGATCCAAACTTTTCACGTTAAAATGGCTGAGGGTGCAATAATCTCTACATAGCGGGCTGGTATGGGAGCGTCTTGCTATGCTGCACCATAGCTGGCTAGTGATTCTCTTTTGGCTAGAAATGGCATTAATCATTATCTCCACTGGCGAAAATGGCACTTGACATCACCGAATGCAACGTTCATGTTTGTTAGGATACATAAAATCAGGAAGATTACGCGAATTAGGTAGGCAAACGTGGAATAAAATAGGTGCTGGATGTTTTGGTTTTGGTGCTGAATCAGCAAACAGCGAATACGGAGTTCAACTAGACGATCTGGCAACTTAAGGCTGTGTGGAAGCAATTAGGTGCCAAATTCAGATATTAGGGTCGAGTAAGCATTTTGGGGCTGATCAGCAATTAGGTGCCAGAAACAGCTTTTTAGGGACCAGAAACAAATATTCCCCAAACGAAAACTAGTAAAAAAACATTTTCAAGGTCATGAAATAAAGGTAGGTATGTGAAACTGGTACCGCCTTTGCATCAGTAAATTCTGATGTTTTTAAAACCGACCTAAAAATCAACCAAAAATAATGTCGGCTAAAATAGTGAGAATAAGTCTTATCCGTCTAATATGATCATTTAAGCATCAAATACTTGATTGGAAACCTCAACCTGACACTCCCTAGCTCATTTAGACCTAAAGGTAGGCATCACAGGAGCTCTTCATTTCATTCATCATAAATAACTTTTGAATGTTGGGTACATGCTGAACCAGGGGCGGATCCAGGAAAACTCCAAGGGGAGGGTCATGAATCGAAGTGGTGCCCCTACCTATACCCAAAATTAAAAACTCAACGGATTTCGTCCACTTCATGTTGGTGGTGCCCCCATTTTCAGTTTTTTTCTTTTTATTTTTTTATTTTTAGTCAGTATCTTAACTCTTAGCCACAACACAACCACATTTACCAATTGTAAGCAAGTATATATGAATGTGCTATGTGTATATATGTTGTGGACGCTGAGTAGTGAGTACTTACCAGGAACGTTATCAGGTAAGCAGATCGTTGTCAGTCCGACGAACTTGACCCTGCGTCTAAAGGGTCTGTCCTTGACACTTCAGGCTTGTCAGGGGCACCAAAGTCCTTCCAGGGACCCCACAAACCTGTCAGGGGCACCTACGGCCTTGTAGGGGCGCCACAGGCCCGCCAGGGGCACCACAGGCCTGCCAGGAAGCAGGGGCACCACAGGTCTAGCAAGTATACACGACAGGCCTGTCAGGGGCACAACGGGCCTGTTGGGCCCATGAGCACCCCTAGGGGCAGGGGCACCACAGTCCTTCCAGGGGCACCGCAGGCCTGTGAGGGGCACCAGCGGCCTAGCAGGGGCACCAGTCAACACAGGCCTGCCAGGGGCACCACAGACCTGCCAGGGGCACCAGAGGCCTGCCAGGAGCACCACCGACCTCGCAGGGGTAGCTTGGGCCTGTTAGGGCCCAGGGGCACCACGGGCCTGTCGAGAGGCACTTCAGGCTTTTCAGGGGCACCATAGTCCTCTCCGGGCGCAGGGGTAGCAGGGGCACCAGAGGCCTGCCAGGGGCACTACAGGCCTAGCAAGGGCACCACTGGTCTATCAGGGGCACCACGAGCCTGTCATAGCCAGGCATCTCAGGCTTGTCAAGGCCCAGGAGCACCACAGGTCTGTGAGGGGCACCAGTCAACACAGGTCTGCCAGGGGCGCCACAGACCTGCCAGGGGCACCACAGACCTGCTAGGGGCACCAGAGGTCTGCCAGGGGCACCACCGGCCTCGCAGGGGCACCTTGGGCCTATCAGGGGCACCACGGGCATGCCGAGGGGCACTTCAGACTTTTCAGGGGCACCAGTCCTCTCCGGGCGCAGGGGTACCAGCGGCCTAGCAAGGGCACCAGAGGCCTGCCAGGGGCACCAGTGGCCTAGCAAGGGCACCAGAGACCTGCCAGGGGCACCACAGGCCTAACAAGGGCACCACGGGCCTGTCAGGGGCACCTCAGGCTTGTCAGGGCCCAGGGACACCACAGTCCTTCCAAGGGCACCGCAAGCCTGTCAGGGGCACCAGAGGCCTGCCAGGGGCACCACAGGCCTAGCAAGGGCACCACTGGCCTGTCAGGGGCACCTCAGGCTTGTCAGGGCCCAGGGGCACCACAGTCCTTCCAGGGGCATTACAAGCCTGTCAGGGGCACCAGAGGCCTAGCAAGGGCACCACAGGCCTGCCATGGACACCACAGGCCTGCCAGGGGCACCACCGGCCTTGCAGGGGCGCCTCAGGCCTGTCAGGGGCACCACGTGCCTGCCTGGGACACTTCAGGCTTGTCAGGGGCGTTACAGTCCTGTCAGGGCCAGGGGCACCAGGCCCGTGGTGTCCCTGCTAGGCCTGTGGTGCCCCTGGCGGTCCTGTGGTGCCCCTGTCAGGACTGTGATACGCCTGATAGGCCGGTGGTGCCCCTGGCAGGTCTTTGGGCCCCCGAGCCTCAAGGGGGGGGCCATGACCCATGTGACCCCCCCCCTTGGATCCGCCACTGTGCTGAACTGATGAAATTCCTTGACTATGGACACATTGGACATCTTGTACAACAAAAACAACAAAGGGTAAAGATTTACTGATATGCGACATCGTCTTTCCGGTCAGAATGTGACCTTGAATTTTGTCCATGTTTTTCGGTACCTAGGGGAGTCGAACATATAAGGGGGATCACACTTATGAGGGGTTCGAACGGAAACCCTCGTTTTTTCGCAACTATTTCCTGCAAAAAGCGGCCGATCGCGATGAAACTTAAAATGCCCTCGAGTTGGTCAGCTTTACACATAGGTACAGGTCTCGCGGGTTTTAGCGGTAGGTTTTGCACCTAGAAAATTTAGTGTACCTCAGGCTATATCTTCGTCGTCTTAAGCTTTTAAGCATTGAAGATGCTATCGACTTGTTGGGTAACAAGCCGGCCATGAGCGTGTGAAATGGCTTCATCGTAGATCGATTAGTTTCTGAGATATAACCGGAAATGTAAAAAACAAAACCTACCGCTTAATCTCGCGAGACCTGTACATACCTATAGGTACTCAGAAAATTTCGTGACCATGATCCAAACGATCTTTGACCTGTGACTTATTATTTGAGAACATGTTTGGCTGGCATCTCGATTCAGCTTTTGTCGGCTCACATTATTCGCGTGTTTCCAGCTTTTTTGTAGACGATAAAATATGTGAAATGATGCGCGTCTTATGCATTATGGTGGGTGTTAGGGTCAGGTCACGTGTGTACACGTGACCTGAAGGTCAGGTCACGTGAATCGTGGTCACGTGAAGGTCAGGTCAAGATCATTCACCTTTGATGACCCTGGTTCACTTTTCGAGTTTGGAGCTTTACATGTTTCTGCAAGGTAGTTTTTGGGGATGAATTCGAATTTAGCTCCCATTTGATAATTTACCAAGTAGTTTTGGTGCCTTCGTAACATGTTAGGTACGAAGCGAAGCTGTCAGTAGTATTTGACACCTGCCTAATATGGATAGCTGGCAGGACTCCTTCTGGTTGACCTGACCTGACCTGACCCGACCTGGCCTAAGTGCATGAAGACCCCATCTGTAATCAAGAGTAACGTGAAATTCGTGATCCGCACCTCGAAATACGAGTAAATAGCAACGTCTAACAGGTCACGATTTTTCCGCCTTTTGGGTCATTGACCTGACCTGGAAGGCCAATAACCTATGACCTTAAAATTGGGTATAACTAGCTTAACCCTCGCCGGCACAGGCCATTTTGCGTCCTTCGACGGCACAAGGGGGGGGGGGTACAACCCCCCCTCGCGTTCGGCCCCTGATTGAGCTAGAGCTTCGCGGAAAAAACGAGCGTGTTGCCCGTCACGAGAGAAAGCCGATGATACCCAATTTTAAGGTCCTAGGTCATCGGGTGACCTTCCAGGTCAGGTCAATGACCCGAAAACCGGGAAAATCTGGACCTGTTAGAAAGTCGTAAACTATGGCTGCTATGTGGTTTTCCGGGGTGCTGATCACGAATATCGTGTTAGTTTTTATCAGATATGATGTCTTTAAGCACTTAGACCAGGTCGGGTCAGGTCAGGTCAGGTCAACCGGTACCTAGGGGTTGTGACGGGTATTCGTAATACGTGTCAACCACCTCTGACAGCTTCGTAACATGTTACGAAGACACCAAATCTACTTTGTAAATGTTCAAATGGTTGCTGTGAGACGCGGTAGTAACGTTCCGGCGTGTATTGGTGCTCCGCTCCAACTGACCACCAAGGGACCAGGAACCCAGCCGGCCGGCCGACTGCCGGAGGGCAGGGCACGGCAGTGGCGTCTCCAGGGACTCAACTCGGGCACACACCGGCACACCACGCACAATGGAGGCGGGGACACCAGCACATCTCCCCTCCCCTCAGGGGTCCCACCTGAGCTCATATTACAGCCGTAAGTACCAGCATAACGTAACAACGGAAACAACTTGACAACAAAATAACAACAAAATAACTTAACAAGTGAAAAGAAACATCACGCTGCGCACACGCAAGCCTATCATTACATCTCCTCTATCAGACGCCTCGGCCGTCTCCTCGTCCGCGTCGACCGTCGGAGCGGCGGCTCCTCGGCGAGACGGGACGTCCCCTGAAGCGGCTGTCGGCCTCCGCTGGGCACCTCGGCGCGACGCTGCCCGGTCGGACCTGAGTTGTCCGATGCACCGCTCCTCTCCGCTAGACACGGTTCAACAACAGCATACCTCCGGCGAAGGTGGCACCGGTTGCGGTCTACACTGCCGCCATCGTCAAACCGCACACGATACCTCCGGAACGGTAGGACGTCAGTCACTGTGCCGCACCTCTCCCACCGGCGGGTGCGGACGTCTTGCACCCGTACATGGGTTCCGACTGGGAACTCGGGGAGATCCCGTGCTCGGCTGTCGTAGCGCTCCTTAGTTTTACGACGGCACTCCTCCCGTCGGTCAGCGAACTCCTCAGGGGGCTGCCGTTTGTAGAGATCAGGGTGTGATGGCAGAGTGTCTCTGATCGGTCGTCCGTACACGAGCTGAGCTGGCGACACTCCGCAGCTACCGGGCGTGTTCCAGTGTTGGAGGATCCCTCTCGTCCAGGCGTCCTCGTCCAGTCTGCACCTGCGAAAGTCCCAGCACCTTCTCAATAGCTTTTTAGCAGCCTTCACTCCAGACTCGGCGAGTCCATTAGATTGTGGATAGTGGGGAGATGATGTGTGGTGACTGATGCCCCACTTTCTGAGAAAACTTCGGAACTGATATGATGTGAATTCAGTGCCCCCGTCACTCCACAGTGCCTCGGGAACCCCGATTTGTCGGAAGACATTTAGCAATGCAGACATGACTTTGGTTGTGCCCGAGTGTAAGCCGAGGTATGCTACATGACGCCATCCAGAAAACCCATCCACAACAACAAGATATTTACCTCCAGCGTGACTTCCAATGTCGACAGTCAGATGCTGAAAGGGTCGTCCTGGAAGCTCGTGCTGGATCAGCGTTTCCCGCTGTTGGGAGGGGAGCTCACTCTGACAGCGGTCGCACGACTTTGTGACGTGATCGACGTCAGCATTCATTCCTGGCCAGTAGACGATCTGTCTTGCTCTGGAAATTGTCCTTTCTCTCCCCAGGTGCCCCGCGTGGAGTGTCGCGAGCGTTCTCTTCCGCAGGGATGGGGGTATAACGACCCTGCATCCACAAAGAACGATTCCATCGTCCACTGTCAGGCGATCTCGAACTGGCCAGTACCTTTTGACGGCTTCTGGAACCTCTGATTTACTGTCAGGGAAGCCGTTCCGAATGACTTCTGCCAGTAGCTGGAACTCGTGGTCCGCAGCAGCAGCCTCCCGGACCTCTTTGAGACTGATGTCGACGTCATGGGCCTTGAGTTCACTGATGACGATAGACTGGATGCAGGAAGTCGTTGCATCCTCTCCACACTCGTCGTCTTCGTTTGGGTGCTCGATCGGGTTCCTAGACAGGGCGTCTGCAGCGCTGTGCTGGGAGGCCGGTACCCATCTTGCTGAGATTGTCCCAAACTCGCTCATCCGTAACTTGAGACGCTGCAGCCTTGGATTTTCAATTTCGTCTAGCGTCTTGCTATTGAGGATTGGTACGAGAGGACGATGGTCCGTGATTACTTCGATGCTCGGAAGTCCTCCGATGAACAGGCGGCACTTCTGTAGGCCCCAGCATACAGCGAGCGCCTCAAGCTCGATGGTCGCGTACCGCGTTTCGGCATCACTGAGGAAGCGTGATCCAGCTTGGATGACGTGCCATCGCCCATCCTTGTCAGCTTGTCGCAGAACAAAGCCCAGACCCTTCTTGCGACTCGCGTCGGTTGCGAGCATCGTCGGCCTGGTGGGGTCGAAGAAGCTGAGAGTCGGCACTGAAGCAAGGTGTTCCTTCGCTCTCTCGAACGCCCGCTGATGGTGCTCTTCCCACAGAAAGGTGGTTCTTGGACTCAGAAAAGAACGAAGCGGCTCCATTAGCTCTGCTACACTGTCGGTAAATGGGGACAGCTGGTTGATGAGTCCGAAGAATCCGCGTAAGTCAGAGATGTTACGCGGAGTCGGGAACGCAGATAGAGCTTGAGTCAGTTGCGGGTTTGGCTTGTACCCCTCTTGTGTCACAATGAAGCCGGCGAACTTTGCGGAGCGTTGAGCCAGTTGGAGCTTTCCCAGGTTGAGGGAAATGCCTCGTTCCTCGCATCGAGACAGAAACTCCCGAACGTGCTGGATGTGCTCTTCCAGTGTGCTGCTGAAGATGATGACGTCATCTACCACTTTCCGGTAGTTATCGGGCATTCCCTGCAGTGCCTCGTCCATCCTCCGGTTGTAATGCTCGGAGATCGACGAGACACCATACGGGGCGCGTTTGAAGGCAAATCTCCCGAACGGTGTGATGAAAGTTGTCAGTAACCTGCTTTCTTCCGCAAGCGGGCACTGGTGGTATCCCTTGGCAGCATCAACCACTGTGAACCATTTGGCCCTCTTTCCGACAATGGATGCTACTTCTTCTGCTGGAGTCGGTGATTGATAGCGTTCTCGACGGATGTGTTTGTTCAGCATCGAAAGATCCACGCAAAGCCGGATGCCGCCTCCCTTTTTAGCGCTGACAACGATCGGTGCGCACCAGTCAGTCGGAGTCGTCACCGGGAAGATGATGTCTTGGTCCTCAAGCCGTTTCAGCTCCTCTTTCAGTGGGTCACGATACGACAGTGGTACCCGTCGTGGCGCGGTGACGCAGAATGGCACCGCATCTTCACGGAGATGGATCTTGTACTCCTCTCCTGGCATGCACCGAATGTTGCCATCAAACACAGTGGGGAATTCCTGCACGAGGTCTGGGATCTTCGTGGCACATTGCTCCTCTCGGTGCTCGGGAGCGGCTATCTGACCGTTGGTCGTACAGTGAGTGCTCGGAGTTAGTGTCTCTTCCCTGACCTGGGATGTAGATGGCAGTGCAGCTTGGCGACAGCGCGGTGCGGATTCCGTCCGCACAGATGTCGCCACAAAGCGGTCGGGTTGCGTTGTAGATGGCGCTGGCGTGGCCGTGCCGCGCGGCCCTCCGGTCGAGCTCGCTTGATCTTCAAAGACCGGGGTAGCAGTCGTACTGCTGTCGTCTGGAGCTGCCGGGTGTCTCGAACCAGCGCTGTTGACGTAGGGCGTCGAGGTCGCGCTGTTCATTTGACGCGGGTAGTCCTTTGGAATAATGTTTAACCGGCGGGTGGTCCTCCATGACATCAGCAGACCCGTGACGCGCGGAAGAATATGTATGTCGTCATCAACCGTGACGTCACCCAGGGTGATACGAACGGGAAGAATGCCGATAGACTTGACGGTGGCTCCGTCAGCTGCTTTCGGGTGTTCGTTGGGCGGTAGAAGGTTCTCAGGGAACTCATTCATGTCGTCCAGGAACTGGATACCTCCAACACTGATGTCCGCTCCGGTGTCGGGCAGCGCGTCCACATCAGCAGAGTAGTACGCCTCTACGCGTACCCGCACCCTCGGGGCACCCTGTACCGATGCAGACGCGATGATAGCCGATGTGCTGGGGCTTCGGCGGTCCACGTGATTCGCCGTTTCACCATCCCGCCGGAAACGGACTCGGCCGTACCCGTCTGGAGATTGCCGTTGGCGACTACGAGAGGCGCGACGATCCCCTGTCGTTGCACGGTGCCGATCGCGGGGAGATGGTGACCGGTACACCTCTCGGGGCGGCGACGACATGTGCCGACCTCTCGGAGACTGAGGCCGGTCTCGCGGCGGAGATGACAGGTACCGATCACGGAGCGGTGGGGACCGATACCGGTCCCGGGGCGGCGGGGATCGGTACCGTCCGTACGACCCCTCGCGGCTCCGCCGGCCGTCGGTCCTCGACCGGCACACAGCTGCGAAGTGGTCCGGTCCCCGGCAGGCCCGACACCGCAGCCCGCGGGCGGGGCACCGCTGGCCGGGTCGGTGCGTCCGCCGACCGCAGCCAGTGCAGGCGGCCGGACCGCCAGCGCCCCGGGGCGACCACACCTGCAGGGCCGACGGGCCGTCCGCAGTGCCGCCGTGCAGCTCCCGTGCGTCGCGAGATGCCGCCTCCTGCGCCCTGCAAACAGTAACAGTGGCCGACAGAGACAGGTCCGGTGTTGCACACAGACATCGAACGGTCTCTGCAGACCTCAGACCCATAATGATTCTATCCCTTATAAGCGAATCGCGACATTCAGTGCAAAAATTGCAGCTGCGGGCGAGTTCTCTAAGGGACGTTAAAAAGTCATCAAAGGATTCGCCCTGTTCCTGTACCCGTTCGTTGAACTTTTTGCGCTCAACGACCTCATTGATTTGGCCGTTCGCGTATTTCTCTAGAGCCTCGATGGACTTTCTCACGTCAGTACGATCGGGTTCACTTAGCTCCAGGTTCCGAAGCACTCTGATTGTGTCGTCCGTGAGGCAGTCTCGGAGAGCGGCTATCTGGATGCGGGGCTCTGCCCGCTCCAGACCAGACAACAGCACATAATCTTCCCATCGCTCTCGCCAGACGTGAAATAACTCGCCTCGGTCGCTGGCGATGTCCAGCCTGTCCGGTCGCGCGTGCCGGCCGGCCCACGTCGGGCCAGCTCCTGCAGCTGGAGCCACGACACCACTCCGCGAAACGTCCACAGTCTCACCGTTATGAGACATCGCCGTCACTCGTCGGTTCCGCAACACTTATCACTTAAAACCGCGGTTCACTATCCTGCCGGCTGCGCCATGTGAGACGCGGTAGTAACGTTCCGGCGTGTATTGGTGCTCCGCTCCAACTGACCACCAAGGGACCAGGAACCCAGCCGGCCGGCCGACTGCCGGAGGGCAGGGCACGGCAGTGGCGTCTCCAGGGACTCAACTCGGGCACACACCGGCACACCACGCACAATGGAGGCGGGGACACCAGCACAGTTGCTAAATTCGAATTCAGCTCCAAAAACTAGCCTAGAAACATTTAAAACTCGAAAAAGTGAACCGAGGTCACCCGAGGTCACCAAAGGTCAATGACCTGACCTGACCTTCAGGTGACCTTGACACCCGCCCTAATGTATGGGAGCAACATCAAATCACATGTTTGAACGTTTAAAACCACGAAAAGCTTGCAAACGCGCGGCTAATGCGAGCCGACATACGCCGAATCGCGATTCCGGCCAAACATGGTCTCGGAAAAGAGGTCACAGGTCGAAGGTCATTTGGGTCAGGGTCATGAAATTTTCAGGGTAGGTGTAAAATTGATCAATGCGAGGGTACTGAAAGTTTCGTTGCGATCGGCCGCTTTTTACGCGAGTTATTCGCGAAAAACCTTAGGGGGGGTTGCATCAACCCCCCTTGTGCCAGCGAGGGTTAATCAGGGGCCGAACGGCAGGGGCGTCCAACGGGACCGGATTAGTCTCTTCCCAAAGAATCTTTTTTTTTCTTTACCGCGAAGCTCTATATCCGACAGGAACGAAATAGCGCGGGGGTGGCAACCCTCCCCCCCCCTCATGTGCGTTCTGGATGGGATGGGAAATGGGATGGGAGTGGATGGGAAAATTGCATGTGCAGGCGAGGGTTAAAGCATGCAAATTAAGACTGGATAGACAGTTTGAAGCTTTCTTGTAAGATTATTAGCTGAGATGCTACACGCATTCTGGCGTCCTAACCGGGAGGTGCGGGCCATCCACCTCCAGGGATCCATCAATAAAATGATGTTTTCTTTGAATGTCCTCTTCAATAAGTTTTTTTTTTGTCGCGCATGCTCGAAAATACAACTACAGAGTGCATTTGAACAGAAAAATATTGTTTGTCTTATGGAACATGTTTGAGTTAACCATAATAAATATGTAAGCGGATTTCCGCTTACATGTTATGCGAGCGGATACTGGGCCTACCAGAAGTGAAAGTCGCAACTCTAAATTCGTCCGGCGCTGCAATAATGTCCTTGGTTTGTTGTCGCGTGTTTAGTTCTATTTAGTTATGATACTGATTTGTAATGACTATTTTATTATTTACTGTGGACGTCAAACCGCGTGGGACGCGACTTTTTCGCAATAACTTTTGAATGCGTTGCCTCTCAAGAACGAAACTTCGGCATTGGACGTTTCAGACCCCGGCCTAATTTTTATTACTAAGGTTTTTCAATGTCCGATCAATATTTAGGGCACTTCCCGTTCACTCGTAATGTTAAATTTTGCTCCTGAAACTCTCTCGGTGAGCAGAGGCTACTCCACAAGGGGCGGAGCCAAAGTGTGACGTTGGAGCTAAGCTCCGCCTGGGCTGGCCGTTGCCTGAGGCGCTATCTGACCCGAGACCGGTCAGTCGCGGTCCGTAGGGGTTGGTACGCGGTGCTTCCTGCCAACACACCCAGCCGCATGGCGTACGTTATTCATGCTTGCCCTAAGGGCTGCAAGAATGTATTTGCAATGCGCCTCTTGTCGGTATTTAACCGTGAAGGAAGCCGCGATAAACTGCTCATCAGCCGAGTGTTGACTGTTCGCACTTCTATCAATGAAATATTTTCTTCGACTCGCTAAGAATGTCACCCAGATAGGAAGACTAAACGCGTACGCCAAATATTACGATGATTTAAGAATAACAGAAAATGATTAAATGATTATTTAATAAGTTTGTCAACGTAATTACGTAAATGAGATACATAATAATATAATATATTTACACAGTCAAGTTAATTTTTTTAATTAAAATTTTAATTTTAGGTTCTTGTAGATATCAAACCGCCAGGAACGTTAGTACACTTCGTGTTATCCTGCCAAGCCCTAATACATATGCCCCAACTTAAATGTTTCCGTAATGCACCGGTACGCATAGCCGGAGGGGAGTCGGATCCGCCGGAGCCGTCATATTTTGCCCTGAGTGGGAGCCGGAGCCGGAGCCGTATTGCCATTTTACTCGGAGCCGGAGCCGGAGCTGGAGCTGACTCAAATGTTCAAGGCTCTGCATCCCTGCTGCTAAGTCAATAATTCGTATAGTTAATTTGGTAAAGGGCCATACTGAACAATCTCGTTTTTTCTCGGATTAAAAAACCTGGTAAAAGGCCATACTGAACAATCTCGGTTTCGAGATGTCCGCCCATCTGAGACCCGACGCACGCAGCATGCAGAACCGGTTCTGAGTGAGGATCGACCGACAGATGGCAGTCGTGTCTGAACGGTAGATGGCAGGGAATTCGTAGTTAGTAGGCGGGGCTTCGCGAGCAGCCTGACGATAGCCGCCATCCGGGCTGATATTTCACTTAGCATTACGAGTGAACGGGAAGTGCCCTAAATATTGATCGGACATTGAAAAACCTTAGTAATAAAAATTAGGCCGGGGTCTGAAACGTCCATTGCCGAAGTTTCGTTCTTGAGAGGCAACGTATTCAAAAGTTATTGCGAAAAAGTCGCGTCCCACGCGGTTTGACGTCCACAGTAATATTGTTCGGTACCAATGTTTCTTTAGTTATGTGTCATATTTCTTATCCGAAGAGTTTTAGACTTCCTGTAATGATTTTGTCCAATGATGTAGTTGCGCGCCACGCGAGAGCCAATCAGGTAATCGTTTATTCTGACCAATGAGAGAGCAGCCGAATTTCCGTTGAGCCCCCGTCGCGTCCAGCGCGGGAATTGGGTGCGCCGCGACATGGCGAGGATCGAGATGTGATTGGATTGCGCCTGCTTGAACGGTGGGTTTCAACGTTCGTGATAACTACTGTTTATTTTATTTCACATTCTCTAATAACGGGTTTTGATATTTCGTGCCGGCTTTGTATGTGTCGGGATTGTGACAGTCGTTTGTCTTTTCTTTCTAGGGCGTTTCAGTTTGTTTGTTTGTCTGCTGGATACACGCTTGGTTGGCTCCGAGTTCGGCGTTTGCCTCTGACGCCAGCGGCCGGGGATAGACGCTTACATCTGGTGGCAGCGGTGGGATGCTCTGAGCTCGACGGCCTAAGCTTGACGGCCTGCATCTGGCGTCAGTAGGATTCTCCGAGCTCGACGGCCTACACCTGGCGTCAGTATAAGATTCTCCGAGCGCGACAGCTGACTGCTCAACGTCTACACGCCGGTGAGACCTATCCAGTTCGGACTTATCCGATAGCGGGATGTGCCTGAACGTTTGTGTCACCCGATCTAAACGATCGCCCTTTGACCATTGTTGGAGCGGGTAATCCTGCCTCGCGGTCCGAGGACTACCGGCCACTCCCGATGGAGACTGGGACGAGTGCACTCCCCCCTGTTGCGGACACGAGCACCTTCTGACCCCCCGGAGACTCAGGTGCTTCCCCCCCCCTTGCCGAGGACGCCGTGCGTGGTATTCTCCGGTGACAATGCGCGCACTACCCCCCCCCCCCTTATGAAGACGCACGTGGACATTTGAAGCTGAGGTGTGCCAAACTGGGCCGACGTGGACATAAACAGTTGGTGGTTGGGGATATGAGTGGTGACAAGGGTGTTTCATTGATACTGTGTGTCATGTATGTGCTTGGTTTGGGAAGGTGTGATGTTGGTTGCTGGTAAAGTGTTCCGGTCTCACTGTAACGAGGTAATACTGGCTCTACGATTTCTTTTTCCATTGTAAAGCGTCCTTTCCATCGCCTTTCTCGCAGTAATTTGAGCATTTAATTTTAGCGTAACTTGTTGAATTACTTTCCGTATTAACGACTCTGCGGTTCCCCTTACATCACCGATTTTTTTTCCGTTGGAACTGTGCCAAATTTGACATTCAGCATGGCGACGCAGTCACTATCGGTCGGTCTGCCGTCTTTCGCCGGTAAGGGCAGTGTCTCTCGTTTCATCGCGGACTTTGACACGTTTGCAGTCCTACAAGGATGGGATGACGATAAAAAAGTAGCTCTGCTGCCTCTGTGCTTGTCCGGAATTGCGAGGGACGCCTACGATGCCTTCCCGACCGAGTGCAAGAAGAAGGTAGGCGACGCGTGCAAGAGATTGGAACTGGCTTTCCCCTCCGGCGACAAAGTCGAGGCACAGGTCCAGCTCCGGTCTTTGAGACTCACAACAGATGACAGCCTTGATGCTTTTGTGGTGAAGCTTCGAGGGCTAGTCAGTCGCGCATTTCCCGACACCCGGCATACCGATCAGGAGTCAGGACCCCTTGCTGTACAATTACTTCCTCCAATCACTGCCACCAGATGTAAGCGTCTATCCCCGGCCGCTGGCGTCAGAGGCAAACGCCGAACTCGGAGCCAACCAAGCGTGTATCCAGCAGACAAACAAACAAACTGAAACGCCCTAGAAAGAAAAGACAAACAACTGTCACAATCCCGACACATACAAAGCCGGCACGAAATATCAAAACCCGTTATTAGAGAATGTGAAATAAAATAAACAGTAGTTATCACGAACGTTGAAACCCACCGTTCAAGCAGGCGCAATCCAATCACATCTCGATCCTCGCCATGTCGCGGCGCACCCAATTCCCGCGCTGGACGCGACGGGGCCCGGCAGGGTTGCCAGATCCAGAACGGTCCTTATCGCCAAATTCGCCCCTTGAATTTCGCCAAAATTCGCCAAATAGGATGCACTGTATAAGCATACGTAGCAGCGCAAGTTGGCGTTCGTGTAACCGTGTTCACACGATTCGTTTCCAAGTTCACGATTTACCTATCTCGTTTCTCATATTCATCTACATAACAGCGTACCTTAACCAGCGCCAAATAAAATAGAAGAAGATAGGGGAGAGTGGGGATAACTGGGCCGGGGCCGGGGGAGAAGTGGGACACCTTCAATACCTGGGTGACCGATTGGACAAACAATTTTGTTATTGCATATTTGCTCATGAATTTAGCCTGGGCACGTCACGACCAAGCGGTTTCCTTTTCCGGTTGCCTGTCTCTGAGATATTGAGTTGGGGTCTAAAATGTGTGTGTTTTTTTTGGCATTGTACTGTAATTCAATTTGCCGTTTATTCAGCGATGTGAAATGTTCAGGCCGTTCACCTTTGGATGTCAGTGAAGTCGTCATCTATGTCGTCATCTCACGACTCCCCAGAAGATATTTTCATCAGGAACGTTTTATATTTGAGTGTCTGATATGAAACGTTGGAAGATTAAATTAATCAGATTACGAAATATTTCGTAACGATGTTTTTTGCTTTGTTTTGTTAATTTTTTAAAATAATATTCGGTGATTTGGAGATGAACTCTGGAAATTCGCCAATATTTGACGTTTTATCGCCTATCGCCAAACGCCGTGCTTCTATCGCCAATGACTTTCAAAATTCGCCAAATTGGCGACATATCGCCAAGTCTGGCAACCCCGTCACGGGGGCTCAACGGAAATTCGGCTGCTCTCTCATTGGTCAGAATAAACGATTACCTGATTGGCTCTCGCGTGGCGCGCAACTACATCATTGGACAAAATCATTACAGGAAGTCTAAAACTCTTCGGATAAGAAATATGACACATAACTAAAGAAACATTGGTACCGAACAATATTAAATAATAAAATAGTCATTACAAATCAGTATCATAACTAAATAGAACTAAACACGCGACAACAAACCAAGGACATTATTGCAGCGCCGGACGAATTTAGAGTTGCGACTTTCACTTCTGGTAGGCCCAGTATCCGCTCGCATAACATGTAAGCGGAAATCCGCTTACAAATATGTGCCCAAGTGGCCTCCATGAAGTAAGCTGTTGGCCGCTTATGCGGTTCATAAGCTCTCTGGGCTCTAAGAGAGCTCAAGGTAGATCCAATTAACGAGTATTGTTCTCAATGCCGAGAAAATAATATGAAACATGACACCGGCCCATACCTCCCGGGCCATGGCCCATACCTGCCGGTGTATTTTGATGGATCGAAAAAGCGCATGATTTATTAAAAGCTATCTCGAGACAAAATAGTTGATCCTAGATGCTTAATATCAGGCACACTTTGCAGGCGAAAGACAATTCCACGTACACAGAGTGAAAAACCGGGTCTAACCACTGCCCACTGGAAGAAAATTACCTTTTCACAAAACCGGCCCATACCTCCCGGGTTTCCCCTATATTGGGCCACTGTCCTACTATGCGTACCGGTGCATTACGGAAACATTTAAGTTGGGGCATATGTATTAGGGCTTGGCAGGATAACACGAAGTGTACTAACGTTCCTGGCGGTTTGATATCTACAAGAACCTAAAATTAAAATTTTAATTTAAAAAATTAACTTGACTGTGTAAATATATTATATTATTATGTATCTCATTTACGTAATTACGTTGACAAACTTATTAAATAATCATTTAATCATTTTCTGTTATTCTTAAATCATCGTAATATTTGGCGTACGCGTTTAGTCTTCCTATCTGGGTGACATTCTTAGCGAGTCGAAGAAAATATTTCATTGATAGAAGTGCGAACAGTCAACACTCGGCTGATGAGCAGTTTATCGCGGCTTCCTTCACGGTTAACCCTCGCATGTGTAGGGGGGGGGGGGGTCGGATGGACCCCCCCATGGTTTTTCGCGAATAACTCGCGTAAAAAGCGGCCGATCGCGACGAAACTTTCAGTACCCTCGCATTGATCAATTTTACACCTACCCTGAAAATTTCATGACCCTGACCCAAATGACCTTTGACCTGTGACCTCTTTTCCGAGACCATGTTTGGCCGGAATCGCGATTTCGCGTATGTCGGCTCGCACTAGCCGCGTGTTTGCAAGCTTCTCGTGGTTTCAAACGTTCAAACATGTGATTTGATGTTACTCTGTTACTCCCGTGTGTGTCAAGGTCACCTGAAGGTCAGGTCAGGTCATTGACCTTTGGTGACCTCGGGTGACCTCGGGTCACTTTTTCGAGTTTTACATGTTTCTAGGCTAGTTTTTGGAGCTGAATTCGAATTTAGCAACCATTTGAACATTTACGAAGTAGTTTTGGTGACTTCGTAACATGTTACGAAGCTGTCAGAGGCGGTTGACACGTACTACGAATACCCGTCACGACGCCTACTGGTTGACCTGACCTGACCTGACCCGACCTGGTCTAAATGCTTCAAGACATCATCTGTGATCAAAACTAACACGATATTCGTTATCAGCACCCCGAAAAACCCCTTAGCAGCCACACTTTACGACTTTCTAACAGGTCCCGATTTTCCCGACTTTGGGTCATTGACCTGACCTGGAAGGTCAACCAATGACCTAGGACCTTAAAATTGGGTATCATCGGCTTCCTCTCGTCACGGGCAACACGCTCGTTTTTTCCGCGAAGCTCTAGCTCGATCAGGGGCCAAACGGCAAGGGGGGGTCCAACCGACCCCCCCCCCCCTACACATTAGAAGCTGGCAAACGCCGCACACATGCGAGGGTTAACCCTCGCCCGTATTGGTGTTTTTCCAGCCGCGAACGTATAAGGGGGGGGGGTCCGTTGGACCCCCCCCCCCTTGCCGTTTCGCCCCTGATCGAGCTAGAGCTTCGCGGAAAAAACGAGCGTGTTGCCCGTGACGAGAGGAAGCCGATGATACCTAATTTTAAGGTCCTAGGTCATTGGTTGACCTTGCAGGTCAGGTCAATGACCCAAAAGTCAGGAAAATCGGGACCTGTTCGAACGTCGTAAAGTGTGACTGCTATGGGGTTTTTCGGGGCGCTGATCACGAATATCATGTTAGTTTTGATCACAGATGATGTCTTTATGCATTTAGTCCAGGTCGGGTCAGGTCAGGTCAGGTCAACCAGTAGGGGTCCTGCCGGGTATTCCTAGTAGGTGTCAACCGCCTCTGACAGCTTCGTAACATGTTACGAAGGCACCAAAACTACTTCGTAAATGTTCATATGGTTGCTAAATTCGAATTCAGCTCCAAAAACTGGCCTAGAAACATGTAAAACTCGAAAAAGTGAACCGAGGTCACCAAAGGTCAATGACCTGACCTGACCTTCAGGTGACCTTGACCCCCCCTTAATGCATGGGTGCAACATCATATCACATGTTTGAACGCTTGAAACCACGAAAAGACTGCAAACGCGCGGCTAATGCGAGCCGACATACGCCGAATCGCGATTCCGGCCAAACATGGTCTCGAAAAGTAGGTCACAGGTCAAAGGTCATTGGGGTCAGGGTCATGAAATTTTCAGGGTAGGTGTCAAATTGATTAACGCGAGGGTACTGAAAGTTTCGTCGCGATCGGCTGCTTTTTACGCGAGTTATTCGCGAAAAACCATGGGGGGGTCCGTTCGACCCCCCCCCCCCCTATACGGGCGAGGGTTAAATACCGACAAGAGGCGCATTGCAAATACATTCTTGCAGCCCTTAGGACAAGCATGAATAACGTACGCCATGCGGCTGGGTGTGTTGGCAGGAAGCACCGCGTACCAACCCCTACGGACCGCGACTGACCGGTCTCGGGTCAGGTAGCGCCTCAGGCAACGGCCAGCCCAGGCGGAGCTTAGCTCCAACGTCACACTTTGGCTCCGCCCCTTGTGGAGTAGCCTCTGCTCACCGAGAGAGTTTCAGGAGCAAAATTTAACATTACGAGTGAACGGGAAGTGCCCTAAATATTGATCGGACATTGAAAAACCTTAGTAATAAAAATTAGGCCGGGGTCTGAAACGTCCAATGCCGAAGTTTCGTTGTTGAGAGGCAACGCATTCAAAAGTTATTGCGAAAAAGTCGCGTCCCACGCGGTTTGACGTCCACTACTGTTAACGCCAGACCCCTTGAGACCCTAATTTTTCGCGATTACTTTTAAATGCGTGAAGGAATTTCAACCAAGCTCAGGACATGGCCGTTTCAAGACAGGCCGAAACTTTTACAATTTAGATATTTTATCGCCATTTCAATATTTCAGGCACTTGTCATTGACTCGTAATGTTAACTGTTTTTCCATCCTGGATAGAGGCTTTCTACGTCATATGACATTAGGCTCCGCCCACGACTGCGGCATTGACCCGTGCCCATCAGCGACCTCTGTACAAACGACACCCCTGCCATCTGTGAAGGACTATGAATTTCGCTGACGCTTCACGTGCTATGAGTCAATTGCAGCAGACGGTCAAGTAAATGTTAGGCTCTTGTTGACTCTTGTATATAGGACCAAGAGGACCATCACTCCTCAACCTACTACTCAGTCGTGCTTCGAACAAACGTTAACGATTCCTAACAAATACGATTTTCGATGTAGGGTATCTGTTTGAAATACGAGCGAGCCGTATGATGTGAAGCTCAGGCAATTAACTTATTATTGCGTTGTTCGATGGTTGCATAGCGATGTACAAATCGGCAGCTACTTGGTGACATCCGACATCCCATTATCGCATTATCTGCAACGCCATAGGCTTTAAATACAGGTGAATATTTCCTAACCTTATGTCAGTTATATGCCATCTGCCCGTCATTTGCAGCTTATAAAAAAAAATATCAGCGAACATATCAGCATTGTAGAAGCAATGCGCATTGAGCATTTATGACTCCTTAGTCATCATGTCG